TGCTTGTATGGACCTATGTGGTTGATGACACTTGTTGAGACAGAAAGCTAGCGACTCCACACGAACGAACGGAACTTGAGGGTGGATTTTATTGTTTAATCTTAGTTCGTGATTGCACTGATGGATTACTTGTTTCACAATCACGTCGGGGTCACCAAATATTTGGCTATTAAGAGTTTTTAATAGCCGTTGTAACTCAATTATTGTTAAGAAAAAGTCTAGCGTTTCAATGGGTAATGTTGTACAATTTATTTCGTATTGTTAAGGTAAAGAAGGCGTCAGTATGACCGATATAATAAAGTGATGCGATGGATACGAAGGTTATGAAGATCAATACCAGACTAAAAACAGGGCAGAAAGACCGAATTGCCCTTGCCCTATGCAAGCATCTCAAAAGAGAGCGACAGAAAGCGATAGAAATAGAGGATAAGTGCAGCTTGGGCTGCTGCTAAGCTGAGAACGCACGTTAGATAGAGCGCGAGAAAAGTGCAGGAACGAAGAAGAAGGGATAGATAGACGAAACGACAGCCGCTGCCGTGCGCAAGCATATGCGGAGACAATGGTTATTTACAGTGGGCAGTGCAAATAATAAACAATGAAGATGATCTTACGATTAACGATTTTACGACTTAATACCGGGCTGAGAAACCCGACAGTATTGTTCATTAAAATCTATGGAGAAACATTGGAGCTAAGATTCGTTAACCAAACCTAAAAAAAATGAAAAAATGAACAAAAAATACCTTTTCGAAGGCTGCGGGCCCAACTGCCAATTGGGAATTGGGATCGCGATCAGGTACCAAATGTACAACCCTTTTTCGTTTGCTTTGTTCACAATTGGCAGTTGGGCCCGCAACCTTCCAAAATGTATTTGTTGAGCTAGCGAGCTTTTTCACTAGCGTAGTTTTGCGATATGTTTATTAACGAGACGATGGTTGTTTAGATTAAATATGGTTTATTGTTGTAAACAGTATAAAGGCGATACAGAATCAAAGAGATAGCGAAAGGTTCGAGTTAGATTGATGACGAGTCGGTTGGAGAGTTAGCTGGATTCAAGACGGGGTCAGATTGTAGACGCGGGGGTCGGTACAAGACGGTGTCGGATTGAATAGCCCGATTCCAAGACGATGTGCAGTGGTTGCTAGATCCAGACTAATTCAAAGGGCAGGCGGGCCGAATTGCCTGTGCCCTAATGCGAGCGAGAGAGCGACAGATCGAGAGAGTGATAGCGAAAGGCGATAGAAAGAAAGGTGTGGGATGAAGAGGCGAAAGAGAACGGCTGCATAGGCTGCTGCCGTGAGGGAGCATGAATGCGTGCATGAGTTTGTAGGTAAATGACAATTTAGTACAGTGGGCAGTGCAAACAACGAACAATAATAAGGATTTACTCTACTGCTGCACCACTGGCTATAATCTATGCATTTGGCCACTATTTGGCTGCGTAACCAAACAGTATTTTTTGTTAATTTTATTTTTATTTTTTTAGGGTTAGTTAACGAATTTTAGCTCCAAAGTTTTTCTATAGATTTTAATAAGCAATACTTTAAACGACGCCTTATTATTGCACCTATAAACATTTTTTTCGATTTTTCCTGAGTTTTTAAAGTCGAAATTTCGTAAAAAATTCCGCACAAAAATCATCATTTTTGCATTTCAATGCTTTAAATTTCCCAGACGGTAAGCTGAAATCACAAAGTGTTTGGGCTTAACTTCAAACTGTTTTAATTATCTTTTCAAAATAGCAATCAGGCGTAAGATACTAGATTTACGTGCAAAAAACAGCGCTACCTCTAAAAAAAAAAGCTATACAAAAAATAACAGACTTAAAAAATTCTTAAAAAAAATTCTGCCAAAGAAAAAAAAAATTACTATCAAACCATTTTTAAGCCCTGAATCTTTAAGAAAAAGTTGGTTTTATTCCTTGAGGAAAACCCGTGTCGAGTAGTGTAACCAGCCATAAGATAAGTGGCACCTGGTGGACAACTAGCTCCAAGACCGCTTCCTTTAAGAGCTGGAGGAGAACGACGGGCCACCGCCCGAATGTGAGGATGTAGGCTGGCATCAAGGTAAGGTGAAAGCCATCGCCTGCAAAGATGCTCGCTCGGCGGCCCTGTACACAAAGGCGGTGGTGGCGCTTGGAGAAATTTATCCAGAGCCAAGCTGGAGTCGGTTAAATTGGAGGACGTTCCCAGTATGACGAGCGCCCGAGTGTGGGTCTTGGCCAAACCCTCAGAGCCCGATAGCATCCTGAGGATCCTCTGGATCTGAAATCCCACCATTTCAACCAACAATTGGAAGGTGTCCAAAGTAGAGAAGGCAACTGGCCAGAGGCGCCAGGCGATCCTCATTCTTAATGAGGAGTCGGTGCAGATCCTTGAATAGACGGGCGGCGTGATAGGCTACGGTTACAGGAATGTGACCATACTGCCCTACAAGTCGGAAACGAAGGGCAAGATAGCCGGAGGAAGCTCCGATGATGGAGGCAGCGGAGGGCTACACCTTCGACATAAGTGACCTAGACAGAGGTCTCTGAAACGTCGAGGTCGGAGATGAGGAGGATTCTCTCGACAGAGACTCGGACACAACATTGGTGGAGGGGAGTCTCAGGAACTGGAGTTCCTGCAAACCAAACTCCATTCTAAACCTGTTAAGTCAGGAGAACATAGATTGGGCAATTCAGAGCTTTAAGCCCTACAAGTCTGTGGAACAGATGGTATCATCCCAGCCCAACCACGCCAGACAAAGAGCCACTCTCTCATGGACAACTCCCGGACACATGCCCTCAGACCAAAGTCGTATTTATACCCAAGGCAGGCAAGCCTTCGCACACTGCTCTTAAAGATTTCAGACCCATAAGTCTTTCGTTCTTTATTTTGAAAACGATGGAACGGCTTTTAGGGCTGCATTCTCAGCATGCCTATCGGAAGGGAAAATCCCCCGAAACGGCCCTACACGCGATCGAATCGATCATCAGTGTCCGTTAACTATAGGGAGTACACTTTGGGAGCCTTCCTAGAATAATAGGCGCTTTCAACAACAACATCCAAAATGCCATCACGGTAACGGACGGTGAATCTTATCGATCAAATGGTTTAATACAGGACCGTTGATGTCGCATTGTGGCGTACGCTGATGATGTTGCCATAGCTTTCTTTGGGAAATTTCTACAGACGCTATGCGAGTGTATGACACCCTTACAAAACTGTCGCAATGGGCAGACAAATGCGGGCTGGGTGTTAAAACGGAACTAGTACTCTTCGAGGGAATGACCCTCGTACATAGTCCGGTGGCTATATACCGCCATCATACGACCAATCCTGATGTACGGAGTGGTGGTGTCTTAGCAACCTCAGCCGTGTCAAACGCATGGCATAACGGGCGGACTACGCACAACCCCAGGGGAAGCCTTCGATACCATGTTGTACCTTCTCCCTGTAGAACTCATAGGGAAATAGGTGGCAACTCTTTCCGCTCTCCGAATGATAGAATCCAAACTTTGGAAAGCATCCGCGTTTGGACACTCGGGAATCTTGAGGGGACTCCCTCAACTACCGGATGGGACAGATTATTGTATACCGAAGTGATCACTTCTCGACGCCCTTCCCGGTGTCAATCCGACTCAGGGAGACTGTGAGAGGGGCGAACCTGGACCCGCAAATGCGATCCACATATACACTGATGGCTCAAGTTAGACGGCCGTATGGGTGGAGGCGTCTACTGTACCGAGCTCAACCCTAGTCATTGTTTCAGAGATCCACGGGAATGATGCTGCCGACCAACTAGCCAGGCAAGGTACTACCACACCTCTCCTACTGGAGAAGAAGCAAGTAGCGATGCCTTTGGCTACGTAAAGGCTACTAACGCATGAAGCTTTAGAGTAAATTGCCGACAGACGATGGCAGCAAACCATCACCTGTAAAACTTCCAGGTCGCTCTGGCCAAGTCGATCGAAGAAACGATCGGAAGAGCTCTACAGACTCAAGAGAGTACAGTGCTCCACCGTCATCCGAGCCATCACGGCACACTGGCAGTTCGGCACAAGCTGCCAGACTGTCAATCCCCCACTTCTTATCTCACTGCAGGCCCCTGGAAACCGTACGTGTCGGTTTCTAGGGGCCGATTTTTTTACGGACATTTTTTTGGCCATATTACAAGATGATGCGTCTCATATAAGGGCTATCCGAAAGATACTGAAGACGCGTACGGAGGCCAAAACAATTTAAATTCGAGATTTTCATATTCCAGAACTTCAAGTTCATGCGTCAGTTTGTTATAATTAAATATAACAGAGCCTCCAATGACAATGATTTATAGAGACAGCGCATAGAACTAGATTCTATCGGGTACTTTACAGGTACATGGCAAAGCGTTGGACAAATTTGTAAGTTAAAATTTATTAACAAGAGTGTGCAGATTTATGAGAAACTAATCCTCTTTGTCCAAATCCGCAGGGTTTCGAAAAAATCAAGTTTTTTAAATACAATATGTGTTTAGTCGTGCTGAGCTCGTAGGTAACAACAATCACTAAAGAGAGGCAGTACAACAGCACATATTGCCAAATATCACTTAAAAAATTTCAATCACGAGAATATTATGTTAATAATTGCAAAAGTGAAAACCTTCGTCAATAATATTAATAAACACTTGACGAAGTGTAATCTAACACCTCGTTGCAAGTCGGCCAGATCGGTTATTTCGTTATATATGAAATATGGCCAAAGTCAAATGAAACTATTTAGGTCATCTTGGGAACATAAAATATAATTAAATTCCAAATTAATTTAATTTACCTTTGGTTATTTCGCATTAAATATACAAAATTTCAAGATAAATTCACGAAAATAATCATTAAAAATACATGAAATTCATTTTTATTGGTATGTCTCGTTTCAGAATAATGATAATGACACAGGAAAAACGAATTTTTAAAAACAATTTCACTCCACCCTAATGGTTGTTGTATGAAAACGAATTACGACTCAAAAATTCGATTTTTTAACGTAGTGCTATCGCCGACACTTTATTATTCCAAGATGTAAAATAACCAATATCCAAGATTGAATGCAAGAAAACTTATAGGAAATATCATTCTCGAGTACTTGTCAATTATGTTCACGTCTTTGATCCTCGGTATTGTGGCTTTGATGGCAGATGCACTTTTTTTTATTGCATGCAACATTCGGGGTCGAGTTGAAATTCCTGCATACATAATTAAAAAATTAGATTCAATCCAATTAATTCTCAATAATTCAAGTTGCTTACCTCTCTGTGAACGATGTCGCAGTTGGTTACGTCCAGTGCCATAGTTGCGAGTAATTCGAAAACTTGGCGGAAACTTGGCTAAGTTTAAGGTCTCAGTGCCAATAGAGCCAAGTGTCGCATTATAATTACCTTTCCGTAACGAAGGGATGGGACTCATTCGTACGTCCTGAAGCTCAATTATATCTTCTGTCGTTGAACACGTTACACATCTGTCGTTTTTACCTATAGTCAATGATTATATTCAAAGAGATTTTATTAATGAAAGGCATCTAAATTGGAATTTTTTGATTGTGTTAATGTCTGTGATGATCTCTTACAGACAAAGATGAGACACGTATTATACTGTATATTAAAATTTTGGAAATTTAAATATATATTTAGTAAAATACCTATCTTTTGTCGATCACAGTCCTTGAGTTTCTTAATCTTTTTTTTTGCTCGTTTGCCCCAGTAAGTATAGTTGACGGCCGCGTATTCAAGAAGCGCGGCAAAGACGAATACGAAACACATTACTAGATAGATGTCAATAGCCTTTACATAAGATATTCGAGGCAATGAACTACGAACGCCAGTGCTGATCGTTGTCATAGTCAGCACCGTAGTGATTCCCAAAGCAACCCTTGCACTTGTCGCCTCGTGGTTAATCCAAAATGAAACCCATGACAGCATTACGATTAGTATGCTAGGAAGATAAGTCTGAAACACAAAATAACCGATATTTCGCTGCAATTTGAACGAAAGGGAGAGGCGCTGATATACTCCAGTGGCGAGTCGCTCTTTACGATCATTTGTTTCATAGCCAATAATAGTGAACTGAGGCAGTTCTGCGTCTTCCACACCTCGCACTGGTGTTGGTTTCCAGTACATGACCACATCGCTGACCGTATATCCATCTGGGTGTAAGAAAGAAGAAGAGAAAGAGAGAAAGATTACAGAAAATTCTGAAATATCGGAATATGTCACTGAATTTTTTATACATTTTTTTCATGCCTAGGCAATTCGTATTTTATTATCCACTTCAGTATCAATGCAAAATTATTATGTGTTAATAAGGCGCAGTGCGTGAAGGGTTGTGTGAGCGAGCAAAGCGATTGAACAGGAACTTGGCGCTCGAGCGAAGCGAGCTTGGGGCTTGCCCTCTTGCTATAATTAATTATAGGACATATCAATATATTAATATCTGATAAGATATAAGAAACAAGAAATTAAAAAGTATTAACCCATGTTATCTACATACATATATACACCTGGCCCTCGCTTAACACGAATTCATTCAACACGAATTCGGTCCTTCACGGTTATAAATTTGCTCCCTCACCAATTTTAACACGCTCTAAACCTCGTTATAACACGATTGCAAAATAATATTAGTGTGTTTTTGTATGCATCACTACGCATGGGGTCCGTGTAGAACGACGCTTTGAGCCAGAACAAATTTTTCTGATAGATGTGGGGCATTAGAAATTCTTATTTTTTTTTTTTAAATCTGCCATTTTTTTAATGTTTTTTTCAGAAATAGTGCTCTTTTTTTTTACATAACAATGCTGTTGGAAGCTGCCGAGCTTTTTTGGCAACGTACTGAGAGAGCGATTTTCAGTATAAGAGATGATGTGTGACTATGTGATATAAATTTATTAGGAACTATTAACGGCTGCTGCTCCATACGCCCCCCGATGAAAGACCAGGGCTTTTAACAGGATCCTCAACGGGTAGGACGCACAGCTTGTTGACAGCTCGACGAGTGGTTCTAGATGGTGTTCTCAGGATGGCAACTCGCACAGCCCTATCAGCTCCAGCGATGACCTCGATCACCCGTGCTAATGGCCACTTAAACGGCGGCAAGTTTTTGTCCTTGATACAGACGACGTCGTTGACTTGGATCGATGGCTGCGGTGTGCTCCATTTGGCACGTTGTTGGAGCAGAGTCAAATACTCTGCTTCCAAAAGATCTGCTGATCACAGGCGACTCTTTGCCAGCAATCTGTTTTTTGTTTTTTTTGTTATTACGGGATTTTATTTATCGAATCTTCCCTAATAGAGACTGACGACAAGTATGCAAATCTTAACATAATATATTTATTTAATTAATTAAACTTAATTACTTAGAGTACGTCCCTACCTAAGTATATATTGCTGGGTGGGGAAGTCTCTCGCCGGAGTCGTGTATGGCTAGTGTGCCAAGTTAAAGACTGCGCAAGTCTATTAGGATGGGCTTAAAACTTGGCCTGATACTTTAATTTCACTTTGGCAATTTCATCTTTAACTGATCCTACATTAAAGTCTTTATGGATATTTTCATGTATGTACCATGGTGTCCCAGTGATAGTTCTTAGTATCTTCGATTGAGCTCTCTAGATTATTTCTAAATTACTAACGCAAGCATTTCCCCATAGCTCGGAGCCATATGTCCAGATGGGTTTGAGAACTGCATTGTACAAAAGTACTTTGTACTCCAGTTTTAGTGGTGAACGTGATTACTAGCTTTAAATTTAAGTAGATTTCTCTTCGCTTCGATGTGTTTACGCCAAGTAAGCCTTCTATCCAAATGAACACCAAGGTATGTTACTTCGGTGGTTTGCGGAATGTTGATGCTGTTCAGATATAATGGAGGGCAAGTTTGTCTGTTTAACGTAAAGGTGCTTGCACTTTTGCTCGTTTACATGTATGCGCCAGTCGGCTAGCCATTTTTCTAAGACCACGAGATGAGATGATAAGTGTTCCGTGGCCCTTGTTGGACTTGGAGCGACTTAGTATGGCAGTATCATCAGCAAATGTCGAAATACGATTTACTTTTTCAATGGTTCCATGTTTTTCGCGAAATCCAAATTGGTGCATCGGGATGGCACCGTTGATGCGTAGGTGTTGTTTGATACTATTCAGGAGCAGCTTTTCAAATATCTTTGATAGGCAAGACAATAGGCTGATAGGTCTATATGATGATGGCTTGGTCTTTTCCTCCTGATTTACTCCATTCTTGAGGATAATAGCCCCATTTCATCATGCTGTTGAATATCACAGTAAGGAAATACACTGCACAGCTCGGCAATTCTATGATCATTTTAGGGGAGATGAAATCGTGGCCCGGAGCTTTCTTTTGCTTTGAGATTTGGTCTTTAATGACCCTTGTGACCTCTCCTGAGCACAAAGCTATTCGTTGCTGGGTGTGGTTTAAAGACGTTTTCTAGATGGACGGCAAATGTATTTGCCTTCTCTTTACTGCTGCGAGCCCACTCTCCTGATTGTGTACGCAATGGTGATTAACTCTCGATTGGTGGGCATACGCCTGATTTTGCTTTCCACAGTGGGAATCGTTTGCTAGTTGGGGAGAGTTGCTCCATATAGGATATTTGAGCTCGGTTTTTTTCATCTTCTAGGGCTCTGCGTAGTAGGTGGTTGGCTATTTTTAGCCGCTATTTCGAGGCAGGTGATCAGTGTGCTTGCCACTCTCGGCGAAGCCTTCTGTTATCGCGTAGCAGCACTTCAATGTGCCTAGAAATACGATTGCTGTTTGAGTGTTTATTAGGTGCTAATATTGGTGTTGAGTTTTTAGCCGCCAGTGACATTGAGGATACTAATGCTTCGACTGACCTATCAATGTAATCTTTACAATAAATGTTTGGGCGGCTATCAATATGAGAACTTATGTACTTCCTGTTTTTGAGCCAATCTGTTTTGCTAGAAATAAGAAAGTGTGGGCGTTCCGAAAGCTGTGGATGGTCGTAAAGGTGAATTAGAATGGGAGACTGATCTGATGATAGATCTGTTAAGTGATCTACATGTATCTGAGCTTGCAGCACACTTCGTGTAACTGCAAAATCAATCAAATCGGGTTGCTTGTTTGGATCTGTGGGCCAATATGTGGGCCAATATGTGGACCAATATGTGGGCTTGCCCGGAGAGATAAAGTCTAGCTTGTTTCGTGGCGCTATTTCTTTGTTTCAAATGTTAATGTGAGTTTGTGTGTGTGTGGTTTGGTATGCATACGTTACATAAGCCGTTTACAATTATCTCGTCGCAACTAGAACTTGAACCAGTTGGACTGCGGATTTCCTACGCTGAGTAAACAAGGGTCTGAAGACACGGCGACAGCCTCTGTTGATTGCAGTTGTAGAGAATGAGTGAACAGGCAGTGATGGTACTGTTTCTGATACTGATTTTATTCGAAACTTAAATTCTATTTATAGGTAACAAAAGGTACAGAAAGTGCTAAGTCTAGTAAGAATATGGTAAAAGGGAATTGGAATTGATAATGAATTAATTTGGATTTATTATGATATTGTGTTATTGGGCAATTGTGATAGTCAGCAATTGCACCAGTGTTTTTGCCCTCTGACGAGCGATCGCATCGTTGGCAGAAATTGCTGCAGAAGCGGTTATTGTTGACTCAGCTACAATGCCTTTTCGTTTGTTATTATGTCTCCCGTTACATGGGTCGACCTGACTTATTCGATAAGTGTATATTATGTAATATTAATCACTGCATAAATATGCGACTGAACATTCTCCCGGCCGTTGAACTGGTGTTCAACCATCGCCCAAGTCGAATGAAAAACGGCGTGGAATGGGGATCGGGGGTGATGATCCGCGTGGCTCTGCTTGGTTGATTGTTGACGGCCTTGGGTTCCATAATTAATACTTCTTCCGGAGAATGAACGCAATAGTCAATAGCATTGATATTGCTAGGGCAGCATAATTAGCGATTTGATGATGCTGCACTGTGTTGAGATGGTGTGGCAGACATTGTTGATTGATTGCCACTAATTTGCAGGCGTAGATCTTCCAATTCTTGAAGATAGTCTGATGTCTGGTACTCCAATCTCCAATTGTACAGTTGCTGGCGAAGTTGGTGTCGTTGGTAAGCGTATGTCCCGAAATCGAATGTAGGTTGATTTGACTTCACTGACTGTTGTGCTGTATTGCGAGCAGTGCATCCAGGTGACAGTGAGAGTAAGCCAGTTCCTTCCAGTTGTATGGTTGACGGAAACCCGTGGCAAACAAAAATCCATTTATTTGCTTGCTGAGTTTTGGACCACACCATGTCCGCCTTCGTGTGGATCACATGACATAAAGGTGCTGTTTTATTATTAAACAACTGAAACTCACAGCGATTGTCGACATTGAAGACTGGTTGATGATCAAAGCAGATGTATTCTGCGTTGAGTAGTTTAAAACAGCGTCGAAATCCTTCTGGAGTAAATCCCATGAATTGATCTCGGTGAGTGTTTACAGTGATTAAGGTCCTTTGAGATTGAACAAGCTCCAACTTGTTGAGTCCCAGACAGGAATCGGCATGATACTGAAAACTTCGAGCTGAAATGTTGAAACTAACGATAGCGTCACCTTGAAAATGACGTGTGTGGCAGTCAGAGTTCCTTCGGCTCGCATGAGCCTGTATAATTGTATCACATTTTGTGTTGTGACAGGCAGCATTTGATCAGCTGGCAAGTGGTCCCGGATTTAGTCTAGTTGCTCTCTTAATTGGTCAGGAGATACTAGCGTATCTATTGGTCTGGCTCTGGTGCATTTAATACAGCTATGTATGATGCTTCTAGCCATCGTCTTGTCGTTGATAATCCAATATTGTTGTCTTGCGATTGCCCTTAATGCTTGGGCACCGCAATGCAGATTTTCCTCATGAAGCTCTCGCATAATCATTTTGACTATTGGGTCGTTGTACGGTAGCAGGATTGGATGATTTGCGTTGAACGGAATTTTGAGCTTCTTCGATTCTTCCGCCAACTCGGATGAGTTCATCATCTCCTAGTATGAGAGATAACGAAATGATCGAACTCTTTATATACACTGTTTTCTAGCGCTTTGAGTTTAATGATTGTAGGTCCTCCCGGTACTCCTTCCATTCGTTTTGGAGTTGTAATGGCAGTTCATCGTCCCA